GTCTTAGAGAGGTTATGGAACTTGCTCAGGATTACATAGCTGAGAAGTACTGGTGCCAGACTTCAAACCCAGTGACCTTGCTGCTCACTTTCCAAAGATGCTTAGGGAGCAGGTGACGAAGTACCCAACACAGGTAAGTCCAAATGAAGGGGGTTGACTCCCGTTTTCATTGCTGGTTTAGTTGCCATGCTTGCTGTCTGGTTTCTAGAAGGCTGAAGGACAAAGGATTACATTAGTGCTTTGATCAACTTCAGACAGACTTCAGAATAATGGACAGAAAATAATTTCATTTTCTTTTGAAAACAGCTTTTTTGGCTCTGATAAAAATTATACCTGTTTGTTGTAAACAGTACAAAGAGGAAAATTAAAATCACCACAGAACAAAATAAGAAGAAGGGGTAGGATTAGATTTTAAAAAACTACTTATAGCTATCATTTCCATTTTTTCAGGCAAGTTTACATACTTATATACATATTTAGCTCTATGTAAAGCACTTTGCATAAATGGGATCACATTATAAGTGCAATTGCAAAACCTATTTTCAATAATTTATTCATTCCCCAATATGTCATGGAAATAAAGATCACCATCACCAGTCTTTGTAATTGCCTAATATTTCCTTGTAGGAATTATTATAATCCATTTCATCTGCCTTTATTGAAAGATGCTTTGGTTATTTCCAAAGTCCTATGTGAAAACAACATTCCCAAGACTATTCTGCATAATTTTAAAAAATTCACAAGGACCACCTTGGGTAACATTAGAACATACAATTTCTGGGAAGGCACAAGCAATGCATGTTGACATTTTGATACATTTTGGCAAACTGCCCTCCCAGAAGATTGACCCAATTTATGTCCTATTGTGACTCCCATTCATCATGACCGCCTTTATAAATCTTGGCTAATCTGATAGGGAAAACAATCACAAGAATTTAATTCTTAGCTTTCCCCCTTATTTTTAAATCTCATTCTCTGTTTATTGCTCATTTTAATTTCTTAGAGGATAAGAGATAGAAGACTCCCAGCGATAAGGGAGAGTGTTATTTATGTACAAAGAGGTTTATCCCAGCTTTACCAGTTAGGAAACAGAAGCAGAGGCCTCCCTGGCGGCACAAGGGGTTAAGCACAGCACTGGGAAGTTATCTGCAGCCTCCACAGCAAGAGTTCAATCCCCAGCCAGAGAGCTACACACATGGTGCAGAAGACCTCTCCTGTCTTGCCTGCTGCTCCCCTCAGCAGTGTATTTCAGTGGATCCACCTGTTCTGCTTCCTGCTCTCTCTTTGGTGAATCCTCTCACCCCCACCCCCGCACCTCTGGCCTGTACCCCAGCTCTTGTATGCATAAATAAATCTTTAAAAAAGAAAACAGAAACAACCAAATGGGGAATCAACAGACCAATTAAGGTATAAGCATATTGAAATATTTGGTGGCCTAAAAGTTTTTGGGGTGAATATTTAACAGCATGGGAAAATGATTATAATATAAAGTTTGAGGAAATTTCTTGAGGACATAAATCAAAATGCAAAATAATTTATAGACTAATTCCAACTCTGTTAAAATATATATGTTGAGAAGAAAAAGAGAAAAATGAGAAGGAAAAATAAGAAGTAGTTAATATTGATGACCTTTGTGAGATGGGATTTTGGATTATTTAAATTTTCTTCTCCATCTTTTTTTTTTTTTTTTTTGCAGTCATGGGATTTTCTAAAAGTATGGGATCAATATTTTACATTTATGATTCTCAGAGTCTGGTGTCACCCACCTTCAGACACTTAACATTATTGTTAATGATTTACTTTGGTAAATGAGAGGGATGCAAGCTTTGGTTCATTCATAATACTAAGGGACACACTTGTGATCAGTGGGGCTGTGTTAGGGGACAAAAGTCCAGATTTCAGTTAGGAGTCCTCTGGAAGGTGAGAGGAGCATAAAAGGGAAGAGCATAAAAGGGAAGAACACATCTGATGAGATTTGGCAAATTCTCCTAGAGGAGGGGGCATTTCAGCCCAACCTTGAAAGATGAGCTGGATTTTATATGTAGCACTTGCGATTTTTTTTTCCTGACTCTATAAGAAATGTTTATTGCAGAAAATAAGAAAACATAGACGATAATAACAGAAATTTATAGGGTCATTATGTGTGGGACACCATTAAATTCCTGTACATAGAGAAATCTCACAAAGCTCCCCAAAACCTTATAAAGGCAGATGTGATTATTTTGTTCATTTCAAGGACAGGGTAAAGGAAATTCAAAGGGATTGAATGAATGAACTTGGGGTACATGATTAGAAAATTGGCAGAAAATTGGCAAATTGACAGGTACCATAGAAGAAAACAAGTCACTGTTAATTAAATCCATTACTTTAAGTCTCTTTTTCCCCCCTATACAAGAGGCTTTCGTGGGTTCTCTTGTTTTGGACACTCTACTGAGTGGTCGTAACTAAGCATCATCAGTAGGCATTGAAGAAAACTTCACAGTGATGGTAATCTTGGAGCTGAATCTTAGGGGATGCATTGGCCATGTGGAGGAGAGGATGCCATTGTGTTGAGCTGAGGGAATAATGTCTACAAAGGTGTGTCAGATGAACCAGCAAGTGATTTCAGGATGGTTAGAGCATACATGTTCATGTGTGTGCATGTATCTGTGTGTACCTCTGTAAATATGTGTGAGTGTATCTGTGTATAGCTGTCTATGTGAGTGTAATTATGTCCAGGAGGCTAGAGTGATAACATAGACAATAGAAAGGCAGGGGTCCGGGCATTAAAGGCCATGTATCCCTGTATTAGTTGGCTTTCCAGAAAAACAGAAAAAATAAAGATTTATGTGAGGAACTGGGTCATGTGAATACTGAGACCAAGAAGCCCCACAATTTGGTGTCTATAAGCTGGAGAACCAGAAAAACTGGTGGAATAATCCAGTTCAAGTTTGAGGACCTGAGAACCAGGAGAAGTGCTAATGTAAATCCCTATCCCAGGGCTGGAGGAGAGTAGATGGAGATGTTCCAGCTCAATCCGTGAGGCAGGAAATAGTGAAGACTTTTTTTTCCTTTATTCCTTCATGGCTGCTTCTGTTGGGCCCTCAACAGATTGGCTGATGCTCTGACTGCAATATACTGAGTCCATGAATTTAAATGCTAATTTCATTGGCAATACCCCTCAGGTACCCCCAGACACTATGTTTTAATCTGGCCAGCTGTGGGTCACTCAATTTGACACATTAAACTAATCATCACAATCTCTTATAAAAGGTTTAGAACAGTATGGAAAGAGAATCTGGAAATGAGTGAAGAAATCCCTGAAGGCCACCTAGTCAGTATAAACTTTTACTTATCTGGAAGGTGATTGGGAGGGAGACTTTGAATTTTTTCAAGAGAGGAATGGAAGATTCTTGGATTGCGTGGTTTGGAGAAGAGAAAAGCAGGAAAGGGGAAACCATTTTAAAAAGTGAGAGGTGATGAGCATATGTATCGGATGGTAGCTACAGGTGGTAGGAGTTTATTGGGGTGAAGGGATAGGTGGTTTTCAATTTCCACTCTGTGTAGTTGGTTTATTGTAGTGAAGGAAAGAGTGATGGTGGATTTGGGCTGACAGATATGGGGAACATACACCATATATTGGGTTATTTGGCAAAGCCCATAGTTGAATTTTCAAACCATTAGTTCAAAAGCATGTCCTTTCTTTCGCCCATTTTCAACAAATAATTACTGAGCACCTACTCTGTGCCAGACCCATGCCTGGGGAACTGCTGGCTCAGTGTGCAATCTAGACATCAATTAGACATAGGAGCCTAGCATTTGCTACAGGAGCCCCCAAATCAATAGCCTCAGAAGGGCAGAGCCCCACGAAAGCATCCAAGCAGGAATTGAGAGATCTGGGTTACTTTCCTGTAGGAGGGCTTTTCTGAACTGAGAATTCAGAAGAAGCTGGAAGATACTCCCCACCAAAGTGCCCAGGCACAGATAGTGGAAGCTGGAGCTCCCCAGAGAAGTAAGATTATGGTTCCTGCCCTGGTAGACGGGGACAAATAGAAGACAATGCCATTTGACACAAATGCAGCTAAGTCATACCTATGTCGTATCTTTCTTTAGTCAAAAAAGAAAACTCCCTGCAAGTTTACCCATTGAAAGGCAGAGTTGTCTGGAACCAGGATGACATACCTACCAGCATGACAAAGTGGGACCGGCACCTTCCCTTTGAAAGATGGTCCCAAAGCCCTCCGGGCAACACCAAGTTGTGCCAGGTGGCACAACTAATGTGCTCAGGTTGCAGGTGGCTTATATCTTGCGATTCACCCTCCCAGGACTGCTACCCTCCTAAGCCCTCTGCTCTCCTGATTTCTTATTTCCCTCCACGATAGCAGACTGGGACTGCCAAGTGGTCACATTAATTGGTTTGGGGCCCCAAAAGTGGAGGAGCTTGGAGCGGAAGGAAAAAACACCTTCATGTATTAAAGGCAGAGAAAGGAACGTGAAATGCAGGATCAGAAAGCGACCCCAGGCCAGACCCCTCGTAAACCACTGGGGGGAGCACACCTCGCTGGGTGGTTGAGAGGGTCACCTGCCCAACCTGCCACCCCTGCCCCCCGGTGTGGCACTAAAGCCGAGGGGCCGGGATAGCAGTCAAGGGGGCAGGACCCTCGCCTCGACGCCGCCACAGCACCCCTTCCGCCCCCTGGTCCCAGGCCTCTGCTCCCCACTTCCTGCAGCCTCGGTCAAGGCCGGGGGCGTGTGTGAGGGGCGGGGCTGCATGGAGCCGAGGAATAAAAAAAGTAATTAGCATCCTCACACCCCATTGGCTGTCCGCCGGCTCTGCTTTACATACGCCCGCCCCGCCGGCCGCCCGGGGTTTGCGGGCTCGGGCAGGGTTTGCCGCGGACGCGCCGGCTGCTGCGCTTCGGTGCGGGGCGCGCGGGCGCGGAGCGGGCCTGGGCCGGGAGCCGGAGCCGGAGCCGGCGCGCCTGGCCGCGGAGCTGCTGCGGCGGTGGCCCCGGGGTGCTTCCCTCCCGCGAGCACGGCGGCCGGCGCCGGACGGCTTCTGCGTTCAGCCGGGCCGGGGAGGCTCCGGCCAGACACTTTAATTCCATCCTGCCAGAAAGGGGCGAGTCCCATCTTGAGCTTTCCGCGCAGCCTGGCTCGCTCCTCCGTGCGCCTCGGCTTCTGCCCGGCCTCCGGGAGATGAGTCCTGGGTCTGCCCTGCGTGCTCCGGCGGCGTCGGTTCCGAGCGGCGGCCCAAAGTAGTGACACTTGCTGGGAGCCACTGCTGGAAAAGTGAGCCGAGGCGGCGCGAGCTCGGCTCTCCTTGCGCCCGGGCGCCGGCTGCCTCTTGCTCTGCCTTCCCCTCGGCTCCCCGGCGGCCGCAGCATGAAGTGGCGCAGCGATGGCCAGGAGAGGTAAGAAGCCGGTGGTGAGGACGCTGGAGGATCTGACGCTGGACTCGGGTTATGGTGGCGCGGCGGACTCGGTGCGCTCCTCCAACTTGTCCCTGTGTTGTTCCGACTCGCACCCGTATGGCGGGAGCTGCTGGCCGCCTCTAGCTGACTCCATGCACAGCCGGCACAACAGCTTTGACACCGTCAACACTGCCCTGGTGGAGGACTCCGAGGGGCTGGACTGCGCCGGCCAGCACTGCTCGCGGCTGCTGCCGGACCTCGACGAGGTCCCCTGGACCCTCCAGGAGCTGGAGGTGCTGCTGCTGCGCTCGCGGGACCCCCGGGCAGGCCCGGCGGCCCCCGGCGGCCTGCCCAAAGACGCGCTGGCCAAGCTGTCCATGCTGGTGAGTCGGGCGCTGGTGCGCATCGCCAAAGAGGCGCAGCGCCTGAGCCTGCGCTTCGCTAAGTGCACCAAGTACGAGATCCAGAGCGCCATGGAGATCGTGCTGTCCTGGGGCCTGGCGGCTCACTGCACGGCGGCCGCGCTGGCCGCGCTGTCCCTCTACAACATGAGCAGCGCCGGCGGCGACCGCCTGGGCCGTGGCAAGTCGGCGCGCTGCGGCCTCACCTTCTCCGTGGGCCGCGTGTACCGCTGGATGGTGGACAGCCGCGTGGCGCTGCGCATCCACGAGCACGCCGCCATCTACCTGACTGCCTGCATGGAGAGCCTCTTCCGGGACATCTACTCGCGGGTGGTGGCCTCCGGGCTGCCCCGGAGCTGCAGCGGCTCCGGCCCCGGCTCCAGCTCCGGCGCAGGCCCGGGCTCCGGCCCCGGCGCGGCCCCTGCAGCGGATAAGGAGCGGGAGGTGCCCGGAGGGGGAGCGGCGAGCGGTGGCGCCTGCAGCGCAGCCAGCAGCGCCAGCGGGGGCAGCAGCTGTTGCGCCCCGCCGGCCGCCGCTACGGCCCCGGCAGCCCCGCCGGCCGCTGCTGCTGCGGCTGCTGCTGCGGCTGCGGCCGCGGCCGCCAACCACCACCTTCACCACCACCACGCGCTCCACGAGGCGCCCAAGTTCACCGTGGAGACGCTGGAGCACACGGTCAACAACGACTCCGAGATCTGGGGGCTCCTGCAGCCCTACCAGCACCTCATCTGCGGGAAGAACGCCAGCGGTAAGTGGCAGCGCGGGTGCCGCCCCCGCGCGCCCGGCGCAGCCAACTCTCGCCCCAACTTTGCTCGGCGCCCCCTCCCGCGCCTTTCCGGCCACACGCTGCTGTCCCAGCGCTCTGAGAACACCGCGCCGGGGGCGGGGGGAACCTGTCACTTCCCGCCCGCCCTGGGGAGCCGCGCGCTGCGCGCGACGCGTGCCGGTTCCCACGTCCGGGAGCGCGCGGTCGGGGCTCGCGCGCGCGGCGGGGTGGCGGCTGCCTACCGCAGGCGGTGGGAAGAAAAACACCACCCTTTTGGGGGGGGGGGCAGGCTTGCAGTCTTTCACGCCCAGTACATATTTTTGTCGGAGCCTGTTTGTTTTGACCTTGAAGATGCCAAATTCCCGGGCGCACAAGTTTGGCACGCTGCAACTAGGGAGGAGGCGCATGCCTCTTCCCACCGCCCCTTTCCAGCACTTCCCTGCGCCCTCGGGGGGCACTGTGGGTGCGCCCGTGAAGGAGAGGCCGGAAGGGTTGCGCGGTTGAGAGTTGGCTTGGCCTAGAGCAAGTGGGGAGAGGTGTGTGTGGCGAGAGGGTGGAACGAGGAGGCTGTTACAGGTCCCAAGTTTTTCCGGGGCAGTTTTGGGGGGCCGGAGCGCACTGCTGGTGGCTGCGGAGCAGGGGACAGCCCTCGCCCGCGATTCTGGCCGCCCTGCGCTCGCTGCTCGGGATTCCCGGCGGCTGGGAGTTGCAGCTGACACCACTTGGTCTGAGTAGCGCCACGAGGGACTCTGGCTGGATGGGGGGTGGGGGGGCTGGCGAGGGTTGTCAATTTAGGAGGTAGCTGTCAGCAGCTTGTCTTTCCCTCGCGCGCACCCCTGTTTGGAGGCCGGAGCTCCAGGGGGTGTGAACGTGCAGTTCTGGAGCCGAGGGGGGCGGGGTGCGGGGCCCTCTTGTTTTCGAGAGATGGAGCTGGCGGTCCTGCCAGTCTGCGAAAGCCGACGCTAGACACTTCAAAGCTTCAATTTTCCACAGGAAATGGTAGAAGGGTAACTGGAGACTCTAAAAACGAAATAAAACTTTGTTCATACTCGGCGGTTTGGCCAGAGATTGCGTGGTTGGAGCTGAAATGCAGCCTCACTGGGCAGATTTCATTCATGTCGCTGCCTGCCGGCTTCCCGGGGGCTGAACGCGAGATGCGGTGGGCGCGGCCCGGCCACTGGGGGTGCCAAGTGTGTGTCTGACTGTGTGCGTGTTTGTGAGCGCCTGCCGGTGAGTGTGAGCCGGAGCGGGCAGGAGCAAGCAGGCGCGCGGGCCGCTGGCTCCAGCAGAAGCCCTTTGGGAACCGACCCTCTAGCCCTGGGTGCCTTCACCTGGCTTAGATCATAGTTGGGGGAGGGGAAGGAAGGAGCCCAGCTTGTGTGTGTGTGTGTGTGTGTGTGTGTGTGTGTGTGTGTGCGCGCGCGCGTGCATGTGCGGTGGGGGCCCCATCGCGACTTCCGCGGGAGCTCTGCAGGAGCCCTTCCCCCTCTGCTGCGGGTCGGGGGCGCAACCCCTAAAGAGAGGGAATCTGAGCGGCTCTGCACTCCCTGCCCTGCGTTCCAATGGGAAATCCTGTCGACTAGGAAACATCTGGGAGGAGGCAGTGATCTCAGAGGGGGAGGGTTCACCTGCACCCCAGGAGCACTGGACTGGATTGTTCTTTGTTTGGAGCCCACCCCACCAAAAAAACCGCAGAGGGCCTGCTCTTTCCACCATGTGCACCCGCTGCACCTGTTCTCACTTTCCCTAATTACAATCATCCTTTACTCATACCGGCCCTCAAACCCTTGCTCTGCTTGATGCCGCCTTCTCCCCACCCCCTTAGTGGGATCTGTCTCCTCTGAGAGGAGGGGCCTGCAGTGTGGGGATCTGGGCAGCCTGCTCACCTCGCTCTTTGCCCTCTCTTGAAGTTAGGACTTTGGGTGCGCACTCCCTTTTCTGAGCCTCGGTCTCCTCTTCTGTAAAATGGCCTAGATAGCTAACACATGCCCCAGGTCTCCTTGCGGCTGTTTGTGTTAGTAGCTGCTTGCAGTTTTTCAAATTCGTTTTACTTTTATGATCCCTAATGTCTTTTATTTTATTTTTTTTAAAGGTTTGTTTGTGCATACAAGAACTGGGGTACAGGCCAGAGGTGCAGGTGAGAGGATTCCCTGGAGACAGAGTGGGGAGCAGAACAGGCAGACTGGCTGAAATCCACTGCTGAGGGGAGCAGCGGGTGAGACAGGAGAGGTCTGCTGCACCATGTGGGTAGCTCCCTGGCAGACTGGGGATCGAACTCGTGCTGCAGTGGCTGCAGATAGCTTCACAGTGCTGTGCTTAACCCCTTGAGCCGCCAGGGAGGCCCCCTTAATGTCTTTTAAAGGCAGTTTTTTGTTTATCCTCTTTAGAGTAAGTATAATTTAAGGAAGAAGCCCGCTGAGTTGGTTTTGGGCAGGGTGAGTGTGTAGTGGTTGGGGCTCACTGCCATCACAGCCTTTCCCACACCACAGAGCTTAACTTCGGAGCTTCAGGGCCCTTTAGCCGTTTCTTGGTATGAGATATACTATAATTTCTTTGTTATCTCTTCATTTCTTCTCCTTAAATTTGTTTAAAATGGCAGGTCACTATACAGAAGACCTAAAGAATGAATGATTCATTTCTTAGAGATCTGAAACATACATTAAACATCAAACCTATTTCTTAAAGACTATTTGCATGGCAGTCTTTCTGATCTGCCAGCCTTATTAAGGAGCTCATGCCTTACATAATTGATTTTTCCCTCTTTAAGCCAATCACATCAGTTATTCATTCATTTGTGAATGCATTTGTTCATCAATATGTATTGAACAGCTACTAAATCTAGGAACTGAGCAAGTACTGAGTTACAAAGGCAGTAACAGCCAGCATTAGTATCCAACTGATGCTAGATGCTGCTAATAGTAGTAGAATCCGTTACTATTCTGTATGTTGACTCAGGTGATCTTCAACATTCCCTTGAAAAGGTACGACTGTTACCCCATTGTGCAGAGGAGGAAACTGAGGCATAGGGCACTTAAATGTCTTGCTCTTTAGTGACACTTCCCTGCACTCAGGCCATGCTACCTGCCCTTCATGCCCTACACCATTGCACAGAGACCCTTCATAGCTGACATTCCTCCTGGCCCAATTTATATACCTTTTCTTCCTGCCTAGTTGAATAGGGTGATACCAGATTTCATGTTTATTTATCTTCTGCCAAGCCTTAGAGAGGGCCTGCCACACAGCTGGAGTGCCTGAGATACCTGTTGAATTGAGCGAGCTATTATACCATGGTATGCAATGATATCTTTAAAGAAGCTGATGTCTTTTCTTGAATCGTCTCAAATGTCAAGTCATTCTACCTTGGTTGCCCCTTCTTACTGCCATCTCTGCACTTGCTCACGCTTTTCATTTGCTGCTTTTAAACTGAGGAATCATGACACAAACTACATGGACTCCACACAGAAAGCAAAAGGTCACTGGCTGTAAGTGAGGGGGCTTAGGGTTCAGGAAAATCACATGTATGGGCTTAGGGCATGGACTTTGTGGTAACCATTTTGTCCTTTAGGGCTGTTTTCTTATGCTTATTTTCAGCTCATTTGAAGATCTGAGATGATAGTATAGAATTTTAACTCAGTTCCTCTTCCCCATCAAATAATTCATTGTAACTCCATCAGGGATTGACCCCAGGGGCGTAACTCCACTGCCAAAGTAGTAAAAATATTGTCTTGGTCAAAAGAAGGTAGCTCATTTCATTTGTTGTATTATTTTTTAAAGGCATCTATAGTGAAGGGGCACTAGAGAACTTTCTGGGGTAATGGAAATGTCCCTTTATTGATAGGGTGTAGCTTTAGAGGTCCGTTCATATTGTATCATATCTTTAAGATCTGTGTGTTTCCTGGATTGTAAAATATACTTTCATAAAAAAAGAAATACCCTCCCCCCAAAAGCCATAAACATCTTTGAGTGAAATCTTGTTTTAAATATAGAAAGAGGGCCTCCCTGGTGGCACAGGCGGTTGAGCACCTCACTGTGAAGCTGTCCACAGCCTCTGCAGTGCGGGTTCCATCCCGGCCAGCGAGAATCCCACATGGCATGGCAGACCTCTCCTGTCTGTCTCGCCCACTGCTTCCCTCAGCAGTGTATTTCGTCAGTCTGCCTGTTCTGTTCCCCGCTCTGTCTCTGGTGAATCCTCTCACCCTCCCGTGCATCTGGCCTGTACCCCGGTTCTTGCATAAAAATAAATAAATCTTAAAAAAAAAAAGGTGACATCTGAAGCCATCTGCTCTGCGTGAGTTACTCAGTCTTACTGGATGTCTCCCAGGTATTAAGGAGGTATAGATATTTAAAAAATAAATATAGAAAGAATTTTAAGGAAAACTGAAAGAGGCAAGATCTAATTTGGAATCATGGTTCTGCTTCTGTGTAGCAAGTGAATTAATTTTGCTGAATTTGGTTTTCTTAACCTGTACAGTGAGGATTATCCTCCACCTAACCCCCCCTCAAAAAACATAAAAAACTCAAACTTACCACATAGGGTGATTTAAAGAATTAAATCAGATCAAGTATGTGAAAATACCTGCCACATAGTAGGCACTAGATAATAATGGCTTCTTATAAAAAAGATTATTCCTACTGGTGATAATAATAATACTTTGGGGATTTTAAATAGTCTTTTTCATTTTGGGGATCCCCAGTCACTTTATAAACATTAATTAACATGAGCCCTTGCCTCACCAACACTGGCTTGGTGGGTAGTGTTGGTTTTTAGGTCTGTTGCCCCATACATTCTGCTTCTGCACAAAGTGCTTACTCAGCAGTCAAACCCCAAGTTGGTTGGCTATTCCATGGTGCAGTGTGGCTGGGCAAAGATGTCATAAAGGAAGCCTAGCTGCTTATGAAGAACAGCAAAAGTTATCTCAAGAGCCAGCCACAACAGTGTTGTGTGCTCACAGAGCACGGTTTTAATTAACTGGCTCAGTGTA